AACTTTGAGGGTAATTTTAAAAAGTGTGGCACCTGTCTGAACTTCGCTATCTGTATGAATACAATCTAGGAATGATAGAAAAACACAAAAAGGAATAACATTTTTGTGCTCTCCACGTTTTCAGAAGAGACCGCCGTTTGAATTTCCAGAAATTTCGTAAACTTGATAATTAACGAACACTCGCCTTGTCGATCTGCTTGTCAAGGTCGAACTTCATTTGATGGTGTGATATATCTTATCCAAGTTCTTTCACATTTTAAGGTTATTTCTCAATCATCTGAAACTATATTGGCCGTTGATTCCATGTCCTTTGTCCGTTTAAAGAAGTTATCTGGTTTATAAAATGGCAGCCATCCGCGAGCGTGACTGGTTCGTGACACCGTCCTGAAAGGTCTTTTGCTAAAATTAGTTGGGTGCAATCTTGTTCATTGAGATTATACTCTTTAAGACATCGCAGTGAAATTTGTAGGGCAAATAAAACACGTTCCTTTGTAAATACGACGCGATGAGTCGCTGACAAAGCGTTTTAACCAAGTCTTCTGACAAACTTGAAAAATGCGTGACTTTGTATTTCATCCCCAGTTCTCCTGCATTGGGTGATGACCTGAACAAATACTAGCTCGTTCACTTGTTTATTAACTTCTTAGGTTGTAATGTCCCTCTTGGTTTTTGTAGAGGATATTTTTGCTCCTGAAGTAGCCGCTTTAACTCTAAAAACATAGAATTTTTTGTTTAAAACCTGTCCTTCAACGGCATCTTTTATCTAGTTTGTATAAAAGTAATAGAGATCGTCATCAGTAGCGAGCGTGACACGGTTGTTTCCTAACATTTTCTGTAAAGTTCGATGTAATTAACATTGAATCGCCATACTTCGATACATTTTCTTCTTCAGCTTAACATAAATTAAACGCACTGACAAAAATAGTTCAACACATTTCAGCTAAGAGAATTGAGAAACCATGGCCACGCTACTACAGTTTCCACGTCCTTCCCAGGACCCCACGCTGCGCGGAAATTCATTGAACTGGACCCTGGCATTCACATTCCGTGCTGTTGTCATATCCTTTTCAACCTGAACAGGGTCCGCCTTGCGGCCAGTTCGCTCACCAATTTCAAACTTGGCTGTAAGATATTCTTTAACCTCACGAGAATCGGAGAAAACCGGATGGAACCTGCGTGGGCCTTGCTTAGTGCCCATCCCATCTGCAGGGTTTCTACGTCAGTTGATGATTCGGACGCCAACATAAATGGTGTAGATTTTTTCACAGCCACATCCACTGATGTAAATTTTGTTGCCCAGTCCTTTCTGATCTTGTTTACTCAAGTCTGGGCTTAGAGAAGATAATGTCACAGTTTTTCAAATTTCAATGACCATGAAAGTCAGAGTCCGGGTAGTTAGTTAATCAGTTGTGGCTCTGAAAAAATTTGAAGGAAAAAAAACTACGAATTTTTAAGAAAATGCTGTTTTCGTGAGAAGGCTCTTAAACGCTGACAAACGTCAACAAATAGCGAAAACTATAATTTCTATATGTTTGCTTTGCTCGAAATCGCGCGCATTTACAAGGCCCTAAAGCTCTTTGCTGACTTGCAAGGACCCATCTGTTATAACGATGCCCAAAATAAAGGGATGAATCTCATAGTTTATTAGATATAATCGTGTAAAGTTTGCTTATCATTTTCGCATAAATTATCGCCTAAATTTGGAAACCGCTGAATTTCTCGAATTGGGTCTTTGCGATTTTGGTTGGGCAAGGCACTAATGCGCACTATGTGTAGCCGAGAAATTTTCACGAAAAAATACCGGCAACAGCAGATTTTTGACTCAGACCTCAAAGGGGCGTGGCATTATAACCACATGACATTTACTCCGATCGCCAAAAATTTTATGTTATATTGTAGATTGATCTATACGTTATACATTCTATGTGTTAGACTTACGATAAAAGTAAAGGTGGGGGTACCAGAGAGCTTCAAAGTAGGATGGCCCAAAAAAAAAAAAAAAAAAAACTGGGTCGAGTCACCTTAAACACACCTTGTCTCTTCATATTCCCCAGGAGCCTATATTTGATGGGCTCCTGTATTCCCCTAATTTCTCACTCTCAGTGTTTTCCCCCAGCCAACGTTTATTTTCCTCATATTTTTGTCTTTGCTTCTTGACACAAGTAGTGCAAATTGTTGTGCATTAAAAAGTATCACAATGATGAATTTAACTTTTAGTCAAAGTCGATTCGTAGCGTAAAACTTACTTTTAGAACCAACACTGAATTGACGATTTGACAACTGGCAAAATAAACTCAAAACAGTTTTTAATCTCGCGGTTAGGTCTTGAGGTGTCGGAAAAATAGTTTTCAGGATATAGCATATAGTAGGGTTAAAAAACGTTTCAAATACAAAATCCCCGATACTCACAAAATAGGGTTTTTAAAGAAGGGGAACATTGCCAAGTGTTTCGCATAATTTCGTGGGTCACGTGCATGTAGGCTACTTTACCGAAATTATCTCTTACTTTGAAAAATAGAACGCTATGAATCAACGTAAAAAATAGACAGTCCTGTAAAGACATTCTAAGCACCTTTTAAATCTCGCAAAAATCCAGGAATACTTGTGTATTTTTGAACGTCTGTGTTGTAACAAATATACTTGTCCTAATTATACTAACGCGCTTGACCAAACAATGTAAAACAAGAATGTTCATTTCATACTTGTTATTTACTCAATCCAAGATTTCTACACTTACATCGTGGCACTGTTGCCAAAAAATATAACTGGTTATGATATAAATAGCCGGAAAATAAACACCTTATGGAACGATTTCCTTTCAAGGTTTTACAACAACGTTGAATGGTTATTCCCTCGACCTTCTCTTTTAGTCTTTATTTATAATTAGATTTAAAGTTTGTTACACAATTCGGAATACTTGACCATGACATTTACCTTGGTTTTAAGAGTTCTTTTATTCTATTGAAAGTTAAAAAGTAAAGGCGCCTCACATACGTCGGTACTTCGAAATGATCATTTCATCATTATCTGAAAGACAAACCTTTTTAAACGCCCTCTTCATCAGTACTCCGTTTTACGGGTATTTAAGCTACTTGAAGCTACACGGAAAGAATTTCTCACACCTGGCCATGGACATCAATCTCAAGACCTCTCACACAGAAGACTCCAAGGGCTACGCAATAACCAACTGTGTCAATCGTTGCTCCTCAAAAAAGGGAAAACGTAAAATATTGTGAAGTAGAATGCTTACCTGACCCAATGGGAATTGTGATTCCAAAAATTGCGTGAATATTCTTGGACATCTCCAAGTTGATAACATGATTATTTTTTAGCTTTTTCCTTGCTCCTGAATGAAGAGGATATCGACATGTCCTCAACGGACGCCAGTTGCGACCCAAATTATGTCTGTGTTTTGGACACACGAACATTTCTTCTTGCCGGTGTTTTGGCACATCGAATAGCCCCGCCCTGACTAGTATCAGTTCGTACTCCATCATTCCAGATAGTTTTGAAAGATGGCATGTCTTCATGTGGATCGTTATATCTTCCTGGCATTCTCGCAACCTACATACTGTATCCGAACCTCGAAAACCTCCAAAACTAGATTTTCCGAAGCCCGAGAAAGAACACTTCACTGTATCAGTAGCCATGTTACCCCTTGTTTGATTTGTGTCCAGTCCAGAAGGACTGGGGATGAAATACAAAAAGTCACGCAAACTTCAACTTTAATCTGAACTGGGTTAAATCGCCTTGTTAGCGACTCATCGCGTTTTATTTGCAAAGAAAAGTGTTTTATTTGCTCTACAAATTTCCCCGCGATGTCTTGAAGAGTAATCTCAATGAACAAGATTGCATCCAACTAATTTTAGCAAAAGACCTTTCAGGACGGTGTCACGAACCAGTCACGCTGGCGGATACTGCCATTTTATAAACAAGATAACTTCTTAAAACGGACCAAGGACATGGAATCAACGGCCAATATAGTTTCAGATGATTAAGAAATAACCTTAAAATGTGAAAGAACTTGGATAAGACCCATCAAGCCATCAAATGAAGTTGGACTTTGACAAGCAGATCGACAAGGCGAGTGTTCGTTAATTATCTGGTTTACGAAATTTCTGGAAATTCAAACGGCGGCCTATTCTGAAAACGTGGAGAGCACAAAAATGTTATTCCTTGTTGAGTTTTATTATCATTCCTAGATTGTATTCATACAGATAGCGAAGCTCAGACAGGTGCCACACTTTTTAAAATTACCCTCAAAGTTGAGCTACTTTCGTGTTTTGATGGAAAGCCGAAAACACGTGCTGGGGAAAAAATCATTGCCGTTGGAAATAAACAAATAATTCGGAACTGTGATACGGCTAGGAAATCTACAGTGGTGTATCTGTATACGGAAAAGAAAATCAGTCTTTTTAAGCCAGGTGTTTGTTTTCTAGAGCGCGGTCAATATTAGCGATTTTCGCACTTTGAACGGCTATGGCGCCGGCGCTGACCGCCCGGAAATTCAAAAATTCGTAAAAAAATATATTTATCACTTTCGGTCAAACGAAATGCATTTTTGCAACTACTAAGGTGGAGGCTTTAATATCCCAGAATATAAGGAAAATTAATTTTTTGATCCAAAATCACTGGTCGGTTTTTACGGAGACACGCTCTTAAGTGAGTGTACAGGGTACCCTGGGGACGTTTAAACGATTGTTGGCCACCCTTACCTCACCCCTATGCGTTGCCCTTAAAGACAGAACTGCTTATACCCTATCTTAGAACCGAAATCACCAGTCTAACCAAGTGAAAAAGTGGTTTTAGTTTTAACCCCGTCTTGTTTTACTGAGTGTTTCAGTTGAGTAAGCGGACTGTACCGTGTCTTCTGGTTTCTTATTCCCAGGGCCCTTTCAGTCTTTCTACAACGAAAGACAGGATGAAAAAGGACCCTGCAAAGGAAGTTGAACAAAAGTCAAGACACAACAAATAAGATACTTAAACGTTTATTTAGCATTCCCATTCATACATAAACCTTACATTTACTACCGAATTACAAACGCTCTGGGTTTCCTTTGCGCTAACTATTTATTCTCACTTAAGGTGCGATTGCTAATTTCTAAATAAGAAACCTAGCAGGCGGAATAATTTGTAAAATGCATTTTTGCTAACTTCGTTACTTGTCTGAGTGCGTTCTTTCCGGATTAAACTGCGATTGTGTCTCCAGGGCTTCTATGACTCAAATGCTTAAAAAAATAATGTAATCAAGAATATAATAAAGCTGGCTTCATTTATGTCTTTGTTTCTTTGTTGCTTTTTTTCTTTTCGGCTTCCAGTGTTGTCCTGTCTCCATCCCAATGGCCTCTTTTAAATTTTAAAGAAATAGCACTCTTAAGTCGGGGACTGTCTGCGGGGTAAAACTTTTTCGTAACATTTGCGATATTCGTTATTGGGCCAAGGTGCTTCTAGTGGTATTTTGCATGCTTTTTGTGGCTGTTGGTTGCCTGACAATCAAACTATACGTCCGCTTTAATGCATTTTACGTTTAAAACCCGGTAATTCGCTCGCTGAAACCTTTTTTTAATCAAAAGTCTGGAAGCAGCAACTAACAATTTATTACTTTTGAGCTATTTCTCTGGTGCAAAAAAGCAATTTCTAGCAGTTCTATCCTAGGATACTTTTTCAGTGAGGTTTAAACTTTGTTCAGAATGAACAGCGCTTGTGGATTTGGATAATCTCGCTCTGCTATGTCCACTAATGTCATCTTGCCAGTGCTGTCAGAACTCAAATACTTTTGGTTGTACAGCTTGGTCTGGAAAAACGTATAACTCCAATAATAGTGAGGTACAAATTGTGCTTGGTCAGGATATGTTGAGCCAGATGAAGGTTGCTATAATATAGACAAATATCAAAATATTAAAATATTATAAAATGACATACGTATACACACAGCTTCGCTTTCCATTATTAGTCAGGTGGCTAAAGGCTCAGATCTATACAGAGCGGACAAAAGCACCAAACTTTGCATGGTTGTAGCTTAGGGCATGTTAGTCAATATTAGGATCGGTGCCCACAGCTACCTCTTCAGGATTTGCAGCAACTGCTCGCTGAAGTTCTTCAACAACCTTCCATCATGGGTGGCCTGTGCTGAAAATTGCAATCCCTTGTTTATTGCCATTTTTTGATGAAAATCACATAAAAAGGCAAATAGATGGAAAAAGAAACTGTATTAATACTATTGTTATTGAAACCGATGACTAAAACAAGTCAACTTAATGATATATAGCAATAATGATATGCCATGGTGGGTACCCTGTGCTAAGAATATGAATTCCTTGTTTTTTGCCATTATTTTGATGCAACTTGAAAATCAAAAAGAAATTGTATTATTATTGAAACCAACGACAAAAAGCAAGGCAACTAAATGGAAAATCCAAAGAAGACTTTTTCATATGCGTACTCTGTCCCAAATGGCCTTTCAAGATGGCGGCTTGAAGGTGTCTTTTCATGGATTGTAATAATCCGCTAGAATAAATTGTCGTTTTTTAAGGGAAATTGTGTACAATTTGAATCACTACAGGTTTAAGTGAAGTTTTAAGCTCTTCTTGGCGATAAATTTGTTATCGAAAGCCACATTTTCGCTTCATATTTTGTGCCGATTATAAATGACTATTCTGAATTTGTTTTCTTACTGGTTAGTTAAAGGTTTCTGAAGCGGAGCTGTTTTCTACACACCACGATGGATATCAACTGGGATCGTTGTCATATTTGTCAAGAATCAACATAAGAAGATCTGAGAAGCCCATTGGTTTAACGGTACAAGCATTTATAGAATGCTCCTTGCAAATGTACTAGAATTCAGGAAAGAGGACTGTTTTCCTGTTGCAATTAAGTTTGATATTGAAATCACTACAGAGGTAAAAATGCAAAGAAGCAGCAATCCTGTCACCTCAAGTTCAGCAAGTCCAAGTTATAAAAAGCAAGAGAAAGGAAAAACAAGCATGTTGAAGCAGACCAGAAACAGAAAGACAGAAGGTTGTAGATTGTGGTACCAAACGAACTCGGAAGGTTGACACTAGTAAGACCGCAAAGTGTGTGACATGAAACGAAGATGATGGGAGCCACCTACACAGTTTCTATACATCGAAAGCCGACAGAAACCTAAGATGCCTTGCCAACGATTTACTGGACTATGGTCCTCCAAGAATATTTGGCGGTGGTGTGATTGCCATAGGTTCAAAATATAATACGCGCTGTTTAACTGACTTGCGAAATAGGCATACAAGTCAGAGGAACGCAAGAAGAAAAGTGAAGCAGCTTGGAAGGCCGAGGAAGACGAGGAATTAAGTAAATCAAGAGCATTTCTTGAACTCACTGAGTACATAGCAAATGCAGTGGAGAATGATACACATTTCTTTCTACTTGCCGAACTTCATAAGCTGTATTCGTTACATACAAAGGCACACTCTTTGCAGCCCCACTAGTGTCAGTCTTCAAAGCTTGTTTGGTGCCACAATCTACAATCTGCTTCAACATGCTTGTTTCTCGTTTTTACTTTACTTTTTCTAACTTGGACGTAAGGTGACAGGATTGATGCCACTTTACATTTGTTTACTACTGTAGTAGTGATTTCAATATCAAACGTAATTGCAACGAGAACACGTATAGTCCTCTTTCTTGAATTCTAGTAACTTGAATTGTCAAGGAGCGTTCTATAAATAATTGTGCCGTTAAACAAGTGGGTTTCTCAGATTCTCTCTCCTCGATTCTCACCCTTGGTAAATATGATAAATATGACAACGATCCCTACTAATTTCCATCGTGGTGTGTAGAAACGAGCTGAAACTCAATCACGATAAGACTGAAATCGTGCTTTAGTACATCTAAAATAGACCATTAATTGCAATTCACTACCCACAGGTCGGACTTGTAAAGGCTTTGTGGACACATTATTCATTTGACCTTCACTGGCTTCCTGTTAGTCATCATGTTCTTTTTAAACTTCTTTTGTCAGTTTTCAAATCACTTAATAACCTTCCACCTAGCTATCTAGCGGACAGACTTAGTTATCAAAGGCGCTCCAGGAACTTGTGGTCTGCATCTCAGCAGCTGTTAGAACAACGTCGAAAACTCACGGGACAAGGCTTTTACGGAGTGCGCCCCTAAACTGTGGAACTCACTACCATTAGCTAGATTTGCGCAAGTTACCATCTTTAGCTAGTTTAAAGAAAGGACTGAGAACATATCTTTTTACGCAATTTGTAGAGAGTAAGTCAAAACGTCTTTGATATCTTTAGATCATATAACTAAACTTATAGAATGTATATTCAGTTTTTTTGCATGACCTATTATCATCATATACAAACTTTAATGGCAAAATAATTTTAAAACATTTTAATTTTTGTTCCCTTCTCTTGTTCTTTGATAGATTTTAATATATGTTATTTCATGCTCGAGAGATATATATTTTTCCTCTTTAACATTGTAAAGCACCATGAGCTTAGGATATGAGCGCTATAGAAAGAAGCCATTTTTTTACTATTATTAATTTTAACCAGTACAAAAGTAAACTCAGTATAGTCATTCATAATCGGCACAAAATGTGAAGAGAAGAGGTGGTTTTCGATAACAAATTTATCACGAAGAAGAGCTTAAAACTTCACTTAAAACTGTCGTGATTCAAATTGTACACAATTCCCCCCCAAAACGGCAATATATTCTAGCGGATACTTACAGTCCTTGAAAAGACACCTTCAAGCCATCATCTTGAAATGCCATTTGGGACTGAATACGCGTCTGAAAAGATCTTCTTTGGATTTTCCATTTAGTTGACTTCTTTTTGTCATTGGTTTTAATAACAAGATAATACAATTTCTTTTTCGCATTTTCATGTTTCATTAATATAGAGGCAAAAAACAAGGAATTGATAGTCTTAGCACAGGGTACCCACCATGGTATATCATTATTGCTATATCATTAAGTTGACTTGTTTTAGTCATCGGTTTCAATAATAATAGTATTAATACAGTTTCTTTTTCCATCTACTTGCCTTTTTATGTGATTTTCATCAAAACATTGCAAAAAATATGGGATTGCAATTTTGAGCACAGGGCACCCATCATGGAAGGTTGTTGAAGAACTTCAGCGAGCGGTTGCTGCAAATCCTGAAGAGGTAGCTGTGGGCACCGATCCTAATATTGACTAACATGCCCTAAGCTACAACCATGCAAAGTTTGGTGCTTTTGTCCACTCTGTATAGATCTCGCTAAAATTTTGCACTAAGCCACCGGACTATATAGGATTACGAAAATGTCCCGGAAGTTGTTCTTTGATTAGCCAGTTGTTTTTATGTGTTGGGAAGGCTAGCGGTGCAGCTGTTCTCTTGGTGGTGATTACTTGCTTTGGGACCATACAGTAAATAAAACTGATGACGTCAATGGTGCAGAAAAAATAAGTTTGAGTTGTTCTGATAGTGAATACAAAATGGCGGAACATTTCAGTCGTTTCACGAGGAAGAAATAGACGAACTATTGGCTCAAAACAGCAAGAACAGCAAGAAGAGAATTTGACGGACGACATCTGCTATTTGGAGAATATTTGCAGAACTGAACAACGACCCTGTATCTCCTAAACTTGCCGATAAACATGCACTATCGAAGAAACAAACATTAACCACAAGGGACTGCAAAGGACCGCAAACGAATTTATGCCGAAGAACGTAGGATCTATAAAGACCTGATCAGCAAAAATAATGATGTAGACATATTAAATTCTGCAAGCAGAATACTGCAATGCTGATCGTACTACGTGAAAATTAACTCTGCAAGACATCAACACGACATCGAAAGAACTCAAAACAGAGCGGGATTGTAGCCATAGACAGCTGTTTGGCCCTCTTTGGGGCTCGTCAGTATGGCGTAACAACCAGAGATCAGGCTCTGATGAAAACATATCCGCGCACTCTGATTTTAGCCCTGATCCAGAACGATTAAAATTACAAGAGACTACTAGCAATCAATGAAACAAATGTAATTCGGTGAAACATTTACAGAGACAACAATTTTCAATTTTAAAGTGTCTCTAAAAATCCTGAGTCTTTAAGCTTAAGCTTAAAGCTTTTAGCCGGCTTCCTGGTGTTTAATGTTTTCAAAGCCGATGAACGCTGATCGTTCCAAGCTTTCTTTCTACAGCCAAAATTATAACTAAATACTCTTCGGAACGTTTTTTCTTTCTATTTGCGGGAAGTAAAAGACAGTAAAAAACATCACAAGTTGACAAAAAACTCTTTCACTTCAGCTGTCAAAGTAAACAAGTCTCAAGACGCTGTATAAATTTTCTGCATGAACTCACCTGTCAAATTTGGACCAATCAGAGCATAAAAATTGCAAGCAATAATGACGTAGAACTTGTCAAAACTCAAACTGTGCATTTTGAAAAACTAAAATTGTCGTATTGTTTTCAGAGAATAAACAAATTAGACCGCGATTACTCGCCGTCGGCAAATTTTATTCTTTGTTTGTCACTGGAATATCACATGCCATTGCTTTTATCCCATCGATCCTATTCCATTTTTGCACGCGCTTTTTTTGACATCTTATTCCATCTGCAACGACAGAGGGTATCATGAATAAGGTCTAGTCCTTTAGTTTATTGGTCGGTTACTTCCGCTGGACCTGTAATCTGTTTTTTTGAAATTAGTACTGAATGAACTTCGTTTTGAGCAAAATTATTCAAAATTCTCGGTATAACACTGTGGTAATTCCTGCCCTATTTAAAACGGTCGTAGACATTAAAAACGGCGCAAATCAGCAAAACACAACATCAGACCAGCAGTCATTTCCAATCTGCAACGTTCACTTCCCTCATAAGGTAATTTGTGTTCCCCAATTTGGGTTTTAAGTTTTTCAAGCAGAAATTGAAAACAATGCTTTTGCAAAATCTTGTAGGGAAAAATTGCACTGTGGAAAACGTGAAAGTCGAAAGTGCTTCCATGGAGACCTCACATGCCGATTTATGCCGGAAATTAGCAGTGCTGTACAGTACCGCAAATGATCCCCAACCGCAAATGATCCCGAGACCGCAAATGATCCCCAAAATGGACCGCAAATGATCCTCGACCGCAAGTGATCCCCAAAGGCGACCGCAAATGATCCCGTGAAAACTTGAGGAATGGAATGGATTTTATGGGACTGATTACAAAAAAGGACTGATTATAAAAAAGGGACCTTTTTTCGCGCCTTCTAAAGAAAAAGGGAAGGAGGACGCTACATCTCAGGTCAATTTATAGAAGGCGAAAAAAAGTAGAATAAATCTGAAAAGGATATGGTATCAACCGTATATAATTCTTCCTTTGTCAATTGCTTCAATTTTCTTTCAAGAACTGTTTCGTCGCTGAAAATTTAAGACAGGCAGGACATTACGCAGCTTTAATGACTTTACTGATCTTTGTAGAAGTGTCGAATTAATTTTCAGAATATTTAGTTTTGATTTTTCTCTGAAGTGTTAATTTTACGTGATAAACAGCAAGACATTGGTTCGTAACTTAGGAGTGCCCCAGGCCTGGGAGTGCCCGTTACGAAACAAGACATGATTTGAAATAAACACACGTCAAAATGCCCCCGAATTTATCAATGTCCACAGGTTTCGGTTTATTTCGAAAGAACAACTTGCTTACAGCTCATGAACATGTTGCGAATAGTTATATTGACGCTTATATGTATATCCATTTCTTGTGCCTTTGCTGCAGACAGTTACCAGGAATCTAAACCTGGTAACGAGAAACGCAAACCCGATGCATTGAGCGGTAGTTATCGCGTGACAAACCATCGTGGGAACCGTCAGGGGCACCCAACGGCAACTTTCGGGAAAATATCTGTTCGGAAGACGATTTGAGATCTAGAATTTTCGGAGCATTTGTTGTAAAATTTCTTGCTTGCCTGCCTCTCCTTTGATTTTCGAACATCTACAAAATGCAGGACAAAATGGTATACCGTAAAATTCCGAAAATAAGCCTCTCCAAATAAAAGCCCCCCAAACTCGTAACGCAAAGAACCCTCCGTTAAATCGCCCCTCCAAATATAAGCCCCCGGGGGCTTGTACTTGGAAAATTGCCCTCAAATACAAAGTAGAACAAAGCAAAAACGGCAAATTTACTTGAAACTATAAGTCTAGCCCAATCGATTTTGAAACGGAAATTTCCCTCCGTGAATAAGCCCCTCCGAATATAAGCCCCTCAAAAAGGGCCTTTGAAAAATATAAGCCCCGGGGCTTATTTTCGGAATTTTACGGTAATTACCCATTTTTAACGGATTTTGACCCTAAAAAAGGCCACCTAGAATTTTCGGGAGCCTTTTCCTGGCTGAAATTTTCGAGAAGGGAAGTTTTTATCCCTATAATTTTCGGATCACTAAACTTTCAGCTAGGAAATCCGAACAGATGAAAAGTTTTTAGGGGATAAAAATAGGCCTATATCTACCGTTTGAATACTAAAATACGTTCAACAATGCTATGTTAAGTGGTTTTGAACTGTATCCTCGTTGGGTGCCCCTCAACCGTCACATTCACGGAAAGTCGCTTATAGTTATTCGGATCCATGAGGCATTTTAAAGAAAATTAAACAACCTAAAACCCTTATTTAGCCGCAATGAAGAGCATCGCATTTCCAAAAGAGGTCAAAGGAAATGCTCTTGCATTAAAGGACAAATCATGCCGACCAGAAACAAAAATAACCGCAGAAAATGCGTGTCATGACCTCTCAGTATGAAATAAGCAGCAAAAATCACATTTACTCAGTCAAAACGTTTTCCTTCAGAGGTATAATCTACCCGTCAGAGAAAAATTCATTGGAACAACTGAGCATTTTGGCATGAGGCAAAAGTCGTGTGTTGCCTACCGACTTCGTTTTTACACTTGAATGATTTCTTTTCAGTTAGTTTTTATTCATGTATTTATTTAAGAACTAAAACTTAGCGTTTAATCTAACTTTTTGTAATAATAATAATAAAATCGACACGATGATCCGCTTACTCGAGTCTAAGCCATTCCTATTTTTCTTTCGGGATCATTTGCGGTCGACTTTGAGGATCACTTGCGGTCGAGGATCATTTGCGGTCCATTATGGGGATCATTTGCGGTCTCGGGATCATTTGCGGTTGGGGATCATTTGCGGTACTGTACAGTACCCAACCCGCTACCCAATGAAAGCGTTTAATTAATCAAAAATAACCTTACCACAGCCTTTATTTTTATATTGCCGTTTGAGTCTTCCTGGGCCGTCAAGACATACTGTTTCTCCAAGTTCTTGAAGAGTAGACTGATATAGCTCTGATTGAAGGCACTAGTCGACATCACAACTAATTAAAAGAGATTACACTGAAGTCAGTGGATTAAACAAGAAGAAAGGGAATAGGGTTTTTTAAAAATGGGAAGGATCACTCTAACCAACATGTGTCTAATAACTGGATTTGCAAACTTCCAACTAGAACGGTGCAAATCAAAAACCTGTGATGACAAGTCTCGTGTGAGGGTAACATAAAATGACACCTCCTAGACTCGGGGTGACGTAATCAGAGCACAGGTTCCTTCATCTTTGTCTTGAGAGAAGAAAAAGCAATAAACTAAGATCAGTTAAAAGCAGCCCCGGCAAGGGTACTTTCTAGAGAAAACTTTGCCCTACTACAAATTATCAAATAAAGGAGCTTGAATCAAACTAGCCTGCATAACAGGCGTTGTTTTTCGCGTTTTTTGGCTTCCCCGTCGAGCGTGTCTAGCGCTCCTCGCTCGCTCGCTTCGCGTTTGCCTTCGCTCTCCGAAAAAAAGACGAAAAAATAGCACCTGTTATGTAGGCTATTATCCAATAGACCCCCCAAAACATAAAACTGTCACAGGGAAAAAAGGAAAGACGTCAGCAAACCTGAATACAACCTCGCTTACAGCTATCATCACGCAAGCATGGGAACTAAAATGTTTGACACACATACTATCCTCTAATGTCCCATCATAATGGGCAAACATTTCAATTTCCCTCTGTGTTGTGCCGCGCAGTAATGTACCTAAGTCTATACCTACCGTTGTCTTTCGAAGGACACAACGTATTTTCAGGCACAATCACCGCTGTCACGAGCCGATTCCGTCCCCACCCTCTACCTTCTTCCACCTCGAACGCCCTATATCACCCCACCCCACACCCTCGCTCCCAGCCTCTCTTAGTTCAATGGATGGTGGTGCAAGATGACTGCTTGGAAAAAAGGTAAGCCGAAACTGATTCAGAAAATATATTCCGAGGGTTTTCACTTCCACTTTTAACAATTATTGGATGAGGTTTTTGTGATATCGGGAATAATCAAGGTCGAGGTAAGTGTTATCAGCCGAGCCGAAGGCCGAGGCTGATAACACTTACAGAGATCTTGATTATTTAGGATATCACAAAAACCGTATCTAATAGTTGTTTTACTATACATTGTTTCGAAGAAAATAGCGACAAACAAAACGTCGTAAGGAACTTGAATTGATGTTGTTATTGGAAATCATGCATTGCGCTCGCAACCTACAGTTTGGTCAGTTATCTGCTAGCAGATAAGTAACTAATCTACTGGTTGCGCTGATTTCCAAAATAGCTATAGGCTCTTAGTCAATGAGAAGACAGATAGTCAGTACAATGTATAATAATAAAATTAATAGAATACCGCATTAACTTCCGCTTATAAGCTCGAGATTGATATAACTTCGTAAGGGGTTTCAGGAGGGCTTATAAACAGGGGGGCTGTCGTAAAAATCGAATTTATTTCAATACAAGCTAGAGCGGGGGCTTATTCCAGGATTTTTTTTTTTTTAAAGGAAGATTCGCCCATCGCCGGGGAAGGGGCTACTAAGCAAACTTTCAAGGTATGTAAAGGATTGTTTTTATGACAAACAAAAACCAAAACGCAAAAAAAAAAAAAAAAAAAAAAAACAGAAAAGGAAATTAAAGCACAAAGAAAACCTACCTGTTGTATCACTGAAGGCTCCTTTACAATCCACATTGTTGTCAGTTGGATCAATCCGCACCAAACCATCACCCTGCTTGCTAAAAAGGCTCCATATGCGGTAATTTGTGTTAGGTTGAACTTCGTGAGGACGAAAGGACCCGGGTAGGCTTAGCCTTTGGGACACAGGGATTATATTGGGGGCGCGATCTCTTTCAGGCCATCTCACGGATCTAAATGTTGGGTGGCCAGGGTTAGAAAGCGTAGCGCTGTCCGAGATCGCTTCTACTCTATTCTGCCGGCTAGCACCGCTCCCCATCAAATAAATTGTTTTCGATAAAACTGAGTGGAAACGCAGGTGTGCACCCGAATTTAGAGAAGAACTCGGGGATTCGTCTCCAGGAAACAGCAAGGATAAGGATGATCCGCGGCCGCCTCTCCTTCACTTACTCGAGGTTTTTCTTTGAAAAAAAAAAAAAATCCTTAATCACTGAGTGTTAAAATGTATTCTTCCACTTCAAACTTTTGGCACGATAATTTCTGGGATGGCTTAAGTAGATTCAATCCCAATAGGGATGCTTCAGAATTCTATTCCTGAGCGTTTTGGGTTAGAGGGGGTGGCAGGGAGATTAGGGAACGTATTTCCTGCAATGTACTGATTTAATTTAATGAACGCTCTTAGGCCCGTTTCACACCCCCGAACTTAACATCTGTCACAATGAAAGACGGTGCCAAAAGAGCGAGTACATCAGGTAAACGGAGCGTGTAAATATCAAAACTACTTTTTAAAAGATTAAAACATAATTAGCAATAGTTCTCACTACATCTGCCCCCACCTCTTTTTAGAGATAACGTTTATTAATTATTTTTGAAGTAAGTCTTCGAACGTTTGATACATAATCTCTTTATTTCTATGCTCTTAGGTTCTCTTTATTTCTGTGCTCTTAGGTTATGACATCTATAGTGATTGGAGTTAAACACTGACAATAGTTATTAGGGCTAAGCACTGACACAAAATGGTTAACTTTCATTAACTGTTAGGTTTGTCACTATAGAGCACTTTCACTCACGTGGCCTGCATCTGTGCTAATTTATTGAAACAAAAGAAATCATTTACATGAGAAAAGAGTTAAACTCCCAGAGGATTTTCTTGGTACACCAATATGGCCGCCGTTTCATGATCATTGTTTTGGAACGCCAATATGGCCACCGTGACGTCATGTGAAAACGCTCTATAAATATGTAAAACGACAACATAACTTGCCAAGTTATGCCATTAAGTTTTGAAGCAGGCGTAACATTAAAGATTTCAGCTGTAGCATCCTAAAATATGGCCAAAGGCCACGTGTCTAACGCCCCCTAGAACATTTTTAAAATTAGACCCTCGGAAATGCATTATCCTGCATCAGCTCCTCCATTTCCGTTGACACTTGTAAAAGAGACTGAAAGATTCCAGGTTGCCTTAATGTGGCTCTTTCTTTTATTCATGGCGAGACCCATGAATAGAGATGAACTGTCCACGTGGAACGAACTAAGCTGTTTCTTTCCTTTAATCGTTTGATACCAACCTGGCATTGCATGGCAAGCGTCTCTCAAGGTCTCCATCGGGCGGTAAATCAGAAGCACCCAACGACGGTTTCCTCCTTAATACATTGAAAACACTTTTTAGCCTATCCAGAGTACTTTTAGATCTCTAGAAAAACATTCTAAGCGGCGCTGTAAAATTTGTATCGTTAAGGCATCCTAGGGGAACTTGAATTTTTTCAAAATTACAAGGACTTAAATATTATTTTCCCCAAAATTCTAGATGAAATTTGACGTATTGCTATCACAATTTTGAATCCAAATTTTAGGTTTCCTTTTTTCTATGAAAAATAGCCTAACTTGGGAAGTAAAATGCGAAATTAAACTTCAGTAAATCGTAGGGAATTTATTAGATAAGCTTCGAAAATTGTAAAAAAAATTAATGAATGGAACGGTCATCTAGGAATTTTTAGCCGTCCTCAAGTCGTAGAAAATTCTAGGCAATATTTGCTTCTCCGAAATTTTAAAGAAAACAGTCGTCGGGTGCCCCTGGTAAATTTGTTGAATGTTATACCTTAGACTTGAATAAACCTTGTAAAGATAATTGAATGTTATGAAAGCAAAGAAGGTAGTATTCAGCAGAAAATGTACAGTAAAAATTCATGAGATGACGTTAAACAACGCTTATAAGAATTATTTATATAAGCTTACATTTTTTGACACGTTTGTCGCAATTAACAGCTCGGTTGAAAGTGGTTTGGAACAGTAGCGCGGATGACAATTGTTTTGAACGGATAGCTCGAGCCGTTCGAACTGAGATGACATTTTTCCAACGGACAGCCTGAGCCATTCGAACGCGAACGGATGACAATTTTTCTCGAATGGATAGTAGTTCCAAGGGATGAAATTCCTTTTTCGAACGGATAACCAGTGCCGTTCAAATGGATGACAATTTTTTTGCAGCGGATAGCTTGAGCCGTTCGAACGGATACCAAATCTTTGGAAAACCCTTTCACAAGTGTCAGTAATTTCGTAACACGAAATTCGCGGGATTTGTGTTCGCGGCGCGCAATGCATGAAGGTTTGCAATGGGCCTTTCAAAGCGGAATTGATATACTATGTCACGCTTTGTCGCGGGCTGGCGTTGCTGTAGTATTCCATTCAAGTCTTTCTACTCTACACAAACCATGATCTCTCAAGGCATGCAGGTAGAAAGATATTGCGCCATTTGCCTGAGTTTGAAACACGAACCTTATAACATAACATAACAACTTTATTTAAGAGTAAAATGTATTGATTTAGCTGTACAAAATATAAAACAGCTAATTGGGGACGCCGGAGACTAATCTAAACTTCATAGCAATAATGATAATAATAATAATAATAATAATAATAATAATAATAATAATAATAATAATAATTTAAGATAATAATAATAATACTTACTTCTAATTGGGCACACTAATCTAAAATAAATAAAAATTCATCAAGAGAGAATCATTCTCTCTTGAAATCATTCCATGCGAAACCCTGTCGTTTATCGGACCGCGAAAAAAGTAGTGTTTTGCTTACTATTTAAGTTGTTATGTAAGCCTTAACCAGGCACCTTTTCGCTGCAGTTCACTCAACTTTAAAATTTCTAGACTGAAATAACACCAGTTTAAAACTTCACGGAGTCAGATCACTAATTTAAAAAAAAAAAAAAGTGTTCTGAATACAATTTGCGTAAATTTGGACTCGTTGAAATGCTTTTAGTAACTACTAACTCACTTCCCGGAGTCAGATAAAGGCTTTTAATCGCTCAAGGAAATTGAGGCATTGGTGTTTTTTCAATTTCTCTCAAAAAGTCGAGGGGTGGTCTGTATTTTAAGGATTAAGGCCTACAGCGACAAAACTTAAGTAAAATAATGACTCTCAAAAGTTTATGCGATTCCGAGTAAAAGGATATGTAAATTAGGTCACGTGACCTCAAACGGCCATTTTGCGCGAAAAGAACTTAAATTAGAAATGGCACCATTTTATAGCAGCAGTCAATCAAATACTGAATTGCAATCGAACATGTCCCTAGATGAACGACTAGACACCTGTTAAATAATTTATTGCTAGTGTAAATAAACGGAATTTTGTACTAGTACCCAGTCCCCTTATCAAACGATTTTCGAATTTCGTCCCTGTCTAAAAGATTAACTTAAAAGGCCCGGACACAGAAATGATGTACCCACTAGTCTCATAACTATGACGATAATTGCAACTTCCAGAAAGTAATTAAAAGTGGTGTCATATGGCCAAAAAATTTTTGTGTAAAAAATAGCCTTAAGAGGTCACGTGACAATTGAATTGATTGGAGTGAATCCAATTAACATTCCATCTATTAAACTTATAGCCAGAAAGTGTTTCCTTAAGTTATTCTGTGCTATACTGAAAACTTAAGAAGTTAGACCACCCCTCCCCCTGTTCTTGAGCGGCCTTTGAATGAAGTTTTATCGTTTTAAATTGCCAAGTAGTAGAATGAGTTGATTTTTTTGCTAACCAGGTTTTCAAAAATCCAGTTATAATTATTTTACACTATATGAAGCTTCGACTTTAAACCTTAAAAATAATTTGATCAAAAAGGGTTAGCTTTTTTGTTTTTCTTCGGTGCTGCATATTTTTTATACGAGAAAGTCACGGTTCCAGGTTGTCCGCTATAGTGAGAAGTGATTCCATTTGCTTCTATTGAAATGGATGGATGAAAATTGATCCCTCTTTTAGATATGCAAATCATGTCCAGTGACATACAAATCATGTCAGAGAGAAAGTAAAATCAACTATTAAAGCTGATTCTTAAGTCGCGGTACCGCATTTTTTATATTCCTGTAAACTTTGCTTTTTTATGTTACTACTATATGCTCCACACAGGTAAAAACGAGAGATTTGAAAAAAGAAAAAAAAATAAGGTTACTAGAACTGATGACGTCACGTCCCTATTTTGGTCATGAAAAAATTTATCAGGTAGAACGTTACTTTCCCGCAAGTTTCCTCTGTCGAGTGATAAAAGGTTAACTCTCTACAGCGCTCGGTCTAGTCTCCCGACTTGTTCGCTCATGTTCATTACCCTCTTAAATTTTAAATGCCGGACGTCAACTGGTTATTTTTAAATGCCCCAAACACTGCTAAAACCTCAAATATGCTATTTGTTTTAACTCGCTAATGAAATATTGTCGCAGCAATAAAAAAAACCTAGTTCGGAAATAGTCATGTGACTGATGACGTCATTACCTTAGATGTGACATGGGAAGATATTTTATGGCGAATGTCATCTTGTCGTGGTCTGACAGTCTTCTACGTATAAAATTGTCAAAGTTATAAAGCTCTTTAAAAATTGCCTCAAAGGATTCTTGGAGATATTTTTATGATAATTATAATTTGCTTTTATAATTATTATTATTAATGCCTTTTGAATCTAAAGAATCTATACGCAGAGTGCATTCAGTAGTGGATAAAATCTCAGCCAGTGTCTCATTGAGAGAATCACAATCCGCAAACTTAAACCTAGAAAATAATTCTCTTATTTTACTTAAGTGAATGCAAAAACCGTCTTCGAAATCCTTTGAATCCACTCAGCGTCGATTCAAATCTGAATTGGGAAACTCGGATTCGAAACCCTCTGAGGGTCTGGGTTGGGGTAAGGGATCAATTTAGAAGACAGCCTTCCTGCAAAATATTTGCGTCAGGCACAAAAGCTTTACCATCCTATTAGGATTGCCTCTTTGGAAAAATCAGAATCCGTCGTGTTTATGAAATTAACAACGTTTGCAAACGCCAATTTCAGCCATAAGTGGCCTTGAAGCATAGCAAGGCACGACTTAATAGACATTGGCCACTTGAAAAATAAAACAGAAAACAGTTTGTTTGTCTTTGGGAACAAAGCGTTTAATATCTAACAATAGTTTTTTGTAGAACGTTTTTCAATTTTATAAAGAGATAGTCCAAGAGGGTCCGTTTAAAATGCTGAATTACAATTATAAGAACATATCCACCTCAAACACTGGAGAAGAAACGGTCCTTTTAAAGGAATAATCTGCAGGCTCAAATGTGCAATAAAGCAGCCAACATTAAAACGGAAACAAAAATAGCTCACATGATAAAGGTGTTACGTAATCTAGTGTGAAGAAGGAGACATTATTTTGTCTCTGCCGCTTCGCGCTTGGCTAGATATGGCCTAATACGAAACCGCTTATCGGCAAAAACAATCATAGAGACAAAATACACCAAAATTTCCTAGCTTCGAAAAATGATATTAAGTAGCATTCTGACGCTACTTAAGAATAATTTGAGTCATTTATTATGCTTTTATTAAATAATCTATCACAGCTATTGAAAATTTAACATTTGAAATATATTTTCGTTTAGTCGAATTCAAACACACAGAATTTTTTACTTCTTACAGAGGTTATTTGCTAAACACCAAACCGACTTTAAGTTCCTACATTTTGACAAAATTAATTAATTTCAATCTATAGACAACAGTCAATCATTGTTGAAAACTTACCGATCAGACAAGGATAAAATCACTTTTAAAGCGAGAGAGAGAATTGTTGCATCAATTCATGCTTTTCGGTCTTTTCTCGGCGGTTTTGCTCAAGTATTCTTATTCAGATTCTTTATACTCTGCACAAACGAGCCCTCAAGGATTCAATTCGGAGCTAAATACTTGTAGCAAGCTTCAAACAACGTTCACAGATACTCTTCTTAGTATATGTACCATAGAACTCAGCATTAGAGTTTAAGAAATGCCAGTTTCCTAACTAAACTTATTACTCTTCTAAAACTCTTAGCAAACATTTAATGCGGAACACGCACTGCCGTAGGGAAAACAGACCTTGGAAAGACCAAACTTGCTAGGAAAGCCGGCATACATTATTTAACAACGCGCGAATATGGTAAAATCAGAGTCAATTCCGAATTGTCAAGGTAAATCACAGTCAGTCCGTGATAGGGTTGTTCACTGCTACCTATCACTGAGTTGTTCATGATTAACGCCTTAGCATAAGATCGTATATTCAAACAATATCAATGATATATACGTATATGTTGACCATCACTTAATATCTCCCAAGGTTCTGCTATGAGACACGAAAAAAACTTAGACATATTTCCAACACGGGTTAACAAAGCTTGGAAACATCAAATTTCTTTAAAAAGCTGTACATCAACAACATGCAAATACGAAAAACCAGAGTCAATTCCAAATTGTTAAGGTAAATCACAGACAGACCGTGATAGAGTTGTTTACTGCTACTTATCACTGAGTTGTTCGTGATTGACGCTTAGCACAGGATCGTAAAAACCAATATTAATGACATTTACGTACATGTTATCGTCCTAACTATGGTGTAAAAGGACCGTCTTTTACTTACCCAAAACGTCCCAACAACAAGGAGTCTTTTTGCGTGTCTTTTCTACTAACCCACCCACTTCCTTGCCTACGGAATAAATTGCATTTATGCTTAACCTGATTTAATTGTTTTGTTCTGCACGCTTCATGATTCATCCAATCCCAAGGCTGCCCATCTCAAGGTTGGCTACTTATTATTATAGTGGGGTCGGTATGAATGTGCAGCATTTGTCTCTTTCCTAAAAAAAACTTACAAAATGCACGATAGGAGGTCGAAGGACACAATGAGCCATCTTCGACTAATGACTAATGACCCATAAGCTGTCATTTGATGATATTGTATTAAGAGAATACGCGGAAGTAAACATTTTGATCTTTCAGTAATTATTCTCTCTCTTTCTCTCCGATCTGTAAAACTTGAAAAACCGACTTCCCTCATGCCCTTGTGCAAATAAACTCCCAAGATAATTCACTGTCTTAAGGTGTTTCGATACTGTTTTTCAGAGGCCATAGCGATATTTTCAATCAGAGATACACAAAAAAGAAGTACATGTAAAAGTCCAAATTTTAAATGAAGTTGCACTTAGACAGGTGGTGAGAAAACGGGTTAGTTTTTAAGATCGCAAGAACGAAAATACACCAAAATTTCCTGGTATGGAAATATGATATTAAGCAGCATTCTGACACTACTTAAGAATAATTTGAGTCATTTATTATGCTTTTATTAAATAATCTATCACAGCTATTGAAAATTTAAGATTTTGAAATATATTTTCGTTTTAGTCGAATTCAAACACACAGAATTTTTTACTTCTTACAGAGGTTATTTGCTAAACACCAAACTTTAAGTTCCTAGTGTTGGATACTCAGTAGAGCTCTGGTCTCGATCGCGCAGTTTTTTGTTTATTATTGTTGTTATAGTGATATCAATTTTACTAAAACCTACATTTTGACAAAATTAATTAATTTCAATCTATAGACAATAGTCAATCATTGTTGAAAACTTAGCGATCAGACAAGGATAAAATCACTTTTAAAGCGATAGAGAGAGAATTGTTGCATCAATTCATGCTTTTCGGTCTTTTCTCGGCGGTTTTGCTCAAGTATTCTTATTCAGATTCTTTATACCCTGCACAAACGAGCCCTCAAGGATTCACTTCGGAGCGAAATACTTTTACTAAGCTTTAAACAACGTTCACAGATACTCTTCTTAGTATCATAGAACTCAGTATTAGAGTTTAAGAAATGCCAGTTTCCTTAATAAACTTATCACTCTTCTAAAACTCTTAGCAAACATTTAATGCGGAACACGCACGGCCGTAGGGAAAACAAAGCTTGGAAACATCAAACTTGCTAGGAAAGCCATACATTAACAACACGAGAATATGGTAAAATCAGAGTCGATTTCGAATTGTCAAGGTAAATCACAGTCAGTCCGTGATAGGGTTGTTCACTGCTACCTATCACTGAGTTGGTTATGATTAACGCCTTAGCATATAGTCGTATATTCAAACAATATCAATGATATATACGTATATGTTGACCATCACTTAATATCTCCCAAGGTTCTGCTATGAGACACGAAAAAAACTTAGACATATTTCCAACACGGGTTAACAAAGCTTGGAAACATCAAATTTCTTTAAAAGCTGTACATCAACAACATGCAAATACGAAAAACCAGAGTCAATTCCAAATTGTTAAGGTAAATCACAGACAGACCGTGATAGAGTTATTTACTGCTACTTATCACTGAGTTGTTCATGATTGACGCTTAGCACAGGATCGTAAAAACCAATATTAATGACATTTACGTACATGTTATCGTCCTAACTATGGTGTAAAAGGACCGTCTTTTACTTACCCAAAACGCCTTAGCAACAAGCAGTCTTTTTTTGTGTCTTTCTACTAAGCCACCTACTTCCTTGAATACGGAATAATTAGCATTTATGCTTAACCTGATTTAATTGTTTTGTTCTGTACGCTTCATGATTCATCCAATCCCAAGGCTGCCCATCTCAAGGTTGTCTACTTATTATTATGGTGGGGTCGGTATGAATGTGCCTCAATTGCATCTTTCCTAACAAAAACTTACAAATTATGCACTATAGGAGGGCGAAGGAGACAATGAGCCGTCTTGGACTAATTAATGACGGACCCTTAAGAGAATACGCGGAAGTAAACATTTTGATCTTTCAGTAATGTTA